AAAAAAAAAAAAAAAAAAAAAAAAAACTTCAGTGAAAAAAGTAACTGTTGATGTGGTAGAAATAGCAAGAGAACTAGAATCAGAAGTGGTGCCTATAGATGTGACTGAATTGCTGCAGTCTCATGATAAAATTTTAATGAATGAGAAGTTTTTTCTTATGGATAAACAGAGTGGTTTCTTGAAATGGAGTCTACTCCTGGTAAAGATGCCGAGAGCACTGTTGAAATGACAACAAAGGATTTAATATATTACATAAACTTAGTTGATAAGTCAGTGGCAGGATTTGAAAGAATTGACTCCAATTTTGAAAGAATTTCTCCTCTGGGTAAAATGCTATTATCACATAGATCGCATGCTGCAGAGAAATTGTTTATGAAAGGAAGAGTCAATCAATGTGACAAACTTCATTGTCCATTTTAGGAAATTGTCACAGCCACCCCAACCTTCAGCAACCATCACTTTGATCAGTCAGCAGCCACCAACATTGAAGCAAGACCCTCCACTGGCAAAAAAATTATGACTCACTAAAGGCTCAGATGATTTTTTTAGCAATAAATTATTTTTAAATAAAGGTATGTACATTGCTTTTTATACATAAGGCTATGGCACACTTAATGGACTATAGTATAGTCTAAACAAAACTTTTATATGCAGTGGGAAACCAACACATTTGTGTGAGTCACTCTATTGAGATATTTGCTTTATTATAGTAGTCTGGAGCTGAACCTACAGTATCTCTGCACAGACCTGTAAGTGAATCAATAAAACAGGAGTTCTTCTTATCATTAGTTGCACCTCTGCTCTGAAGATATATTGTCTGCCACTTGACATTAAATCCAATTATTGTATCTCAGTCCTCACCTTCCTTGGTTCATAGCAGCATTTGAGTTGAGTTATCCCTCCTTCTTGACACATGCTTTTCTCTTGGCACTATGAATATCAACCTCTCTTGACTTTCCTCTACCTTACTTACCATTCCTTCATTCTCTGGCTGATTCCTCTTCATGTTCCCAACCTCCACATTTTTGAGTGACCCAGGCTTAGTCCTTGTTTCTTTTCTTTTTCTTAATACACATTAATTCCATCATTGATCTCATCAAGGCCTGTAACTAATGACTACTTAAATCATTTCTAGAGCCTGGACCTCTCCTTTCAACTCCAAACTATTTATCCAACTACTGACTTATATTTCCACTTAGACCTACTATGGGCATCTCAAATTTACAAGACTAAAAGTCATTTCTTTGCTACCATCTTTCCATTTCAGCTAATGGCGACTCCATGTTTCCAGTTGTTCAAGTCAAATTCTTGCAGTCAACCCCAGCTCAGATAAGGACAATACTCTAGGTCATGGTGGAGACCCAGAGTAAAAGAAACCTGTGTTCCTGAATGGACCATAGCTGCCTGACAAGGCTGCTCCACACAATTCTGGAATGCTGCATGATAAGAAAGAAGTTCTAAATGATGTAAGCCTCTATATTTTTGGATCTCTTTGTCACAGCAGCTTACTTAACTTCTGTACTAACTAACACAGAAGGTGAAAAACTAAGTTGTGAATGGAGGAACTATTCTTTCAAGAAGTCTGAGCATGTGGGGAGGAGAGAAATAAATAAAGCTATTGCTGGAATGTTGTATTAAAGATGGTGAGAACACTTGGCTCGTAAGAAGCTTCTAAAATGCAGTAATCTCACTGAGATACAAGCCTATTCTCTGACACAGTAAATTTGCTGAATGTCCACTGGAGGATCTAAGTCATTCAGGACCTTAGGGTCAAAGGGTGGATCTAAGAGTGTTTAAATATCTGAATCCCATTTATAACACCATTCTTTCTTCTTGAGGTAATATACATTGTAAATTTTTAAATAATGAATCGATGACCCAAATGTAGGAAGCACAGATTGAACTACTGTCTTCCCTTGTTACCTATAGAGGATTGGTTGCAGGATGCCCCAGGGAATCAAAATCTATGGATGCTCAAGTTCTGTATATAAAATGGTGCAGTATTTGCATACAACCCATGCATATCCTTCCATATACTTTAAATCATCTCTAGGTTACTTATAATATGTAATATCATGAAAATGCTATGTAAATCGTTGTTATACTATATTCTAAGGGAATAATAACAAAAAAAAAGTCTATACATGTTTGGTAAAGATGTAATTTTTTTCTAATATTTCCAGTCCATGATTGGTTGACCTCATATATTCCAAACCCACGAAAGTAACCCACAGATATGGAGGGCTAACCATATTTAGTTTTTAAGTGGGCAAGATTTTATATTGAACCCTCTGTGCTCATAATTCTCTTATAACAAAAAATATAAACCTGTAGTGTCCTTGGTAAGGGGTCATGAGAATAACAAAGGGAATTTAAAATGCCAATAACTCTAAGTTATTAAGCACTCATTGTGGTCCTGGTCTATGTAGCTGCTGCCTGCAGAAACCTGCAAACCAGGTCTTAACTTGTAAAGCAATTGATCATAATACTCCTACTGTTAGTTGCTTTCTGAATTTTTTTCCTGGTAACCTGGATCAGTGTGTGGCTTGGTCTCACATAGGTCTGAGCTTGATGGTTTGTGCTTCCCTGGCCATTTGCTTCTATGGAGCCACAGTCACAAAAACTGAAGTAGGCAGGAATCTTTGACTTGCATGTCAAAGTCTGTCTTCATTTATAGAAAACACAAATCTATTCTTTGTGCATATTCCAGAATCAAATGATTTGGCCCCACAAGATTATTATACTGAGGCAACTTGAACAGTAAAGTTCTAAAAATCTGTCAGCCTAATAACCAAAGTGTAGCTTACACTGGATTTTGGAACATATAAAATATTCTAAATGTTCACTGTGTGCACCCGATGCACAATTCTGTATGCTTGCTGGAATGTCAGGGGAAGGCCATCTTGAGAGCCTGAATGCCAACAGGATCTTGATGGCAGATGACCCATTGTACCTGGAATGGGTAATCCATAGGTCCAAAGAGACATGGAGACATATCCAAGCTCAGAAGTTGTATCTATAATTCTCAGTAAATTTTTTTAGCCTGACTATGAGGACATGTAGAACTCACATTTGAAGACACTATACAAACTAGCTATGAGGTGGTGGTGCCTCTCCCCATGATGAGTACACGACAGATATTTCTGAGTTTTTTTCACCAAATTTAGCCACATCAGCCAACAGCATAGATGAGAACAGGCTTTTTGAGGCCTGTATTAGTCAGGGTTCTCCAAAGAAACAGAGGCAGTAGGAGGTATCAGTGTTTATATCTATTTTTATCTATATCCATATATAGAGAGGTTTATTATGAGGAATTGACTCATGCAACTATAGAGGCTAAGGAGTCCCATGATCTGCCATCTGTAAGCTGGAAAGCTAATGGTGTAATTCAGTCCCAGTTCAAAGTCCTGAGAACCAGGGAAGGCAATGGTGTAATTCCAGCTCAAGGGCTAGAGAAAAAGAGAGGAGATGAACAAGGGGCGAATTTCTCCTTCCTCTGCCTTTTGTTCAATTTAGGCCCTTAATGGATTAGACGATGACCAGCCACACTGGAGGAGGGCAATCTACTTTACTAAGTCCATGGATTCAAATGGTGATTTCATCCAGAAACAATGTTCCATGTGGGTATCCTATGGCCTTCCAAGTTGACATGTAAAAGTAACCATCTCAAGGGTATTATCTTTCACTGAAGCTGTAGCATGGCCCAGGTGAGAGACAAATGGCCACTGATGACCCTCCTAAGACCAGAAGAAGCTACATTTACAGCCCACAGCCACATTTACAGAAAAGGGAGATTATACAGATGGATCCATTCATCTTCAAAAGATGATTGCTAATTTCTCCAATTACTTAATTTACCCATGTAAAATGAGGGAAAAGCCTCTGCCCCTTCCCAAACTGACCTGTAGACATATCTAAAGTCCTAGGTGAGTGTTTTACTGAAAGAGGTGCAGGACTTCATCCACGAGCTCAAAGACTCACCTGGTTCCTGGGCAGCAATGTCAGGAGGGCACCTTGACCCTAACACTTCAGATACCTTCCCAGGACGAGGGGAGGCCCACATGAGTGTCCAAGTTGACTGCCAGGTACAATTGTTAGGATTCAGTAATTCTCAAATATTTTGCTGACCACCTGCAGGAAGAAATACATTTAACCTTGTAGCCTCATTCATATACCCATACCTTTGTATATATTTAACTAAATCTAACTTTTCATGCAACATTACTTTCTCTTACTATGTGTCATGTACTCTGATATTTTCTGTTCTATTATTTTAAAATTTTTGGTTGGATACACTGATTTTACAAAGTACTAGTAGCTAATAACATGCAGTTTAAAAAGGACATATTTTATGCAAAAAAATGGATTTCTATAGGTTAGCCCACTAAAAGTTGGAGAATTTTTCTTATTGGTTTATAGAAGCAGTTTCCCCTTCTTTAAAATTTATAAAGTGACAGTCTTCTCCCATGAAATCTGAAAACGTTTATCATGTATATAAATAAGTGGCATTCAGCAGCCTTGCATTTGGCTGGCTTGGATCCAGCCCTGCTCACTCAGCTTTGCAAAAGGAGAACCCAGGAGATAAGAAAGGAGGAAGAGGAAGAGGATGTCAATAAGGTTAGGGCAAAACAGAAGCTAGGAGTAGAACTTGGCCCCCAGGACTGGAAACAGATATAAAGCATGCCTTTCAGAACATTCTAGAAAGGAGGAAGAGATAAAAGGTAGACAAGAAGAAATATCATAAAAAACCTGGCACCTTTTCCCCACTCCTTCTTTTACTCTCCAACCCTAGCAACCTGGTCTTAGAAGGTCACACATCTCTTTGCTATCACAGCCCCTCCTGGGCTCTCCTGGGAAGTTTTCTTCCTCGTTCCCTGAATCCCCACCAAGAAGATATAATGCACTGTGAGCCCTCCAGCTTCTTAGAGATCCATATATTAAAAGCAGTATGAGCAGCTGCAGACAGCCACACAGGGATACAATGGATGGGTCATAAAGGTAACTCTAAGCCATCAGGAAAAAGGTTAAAATACAGTTAACCCTTGAGAGAATTCAAAGAAACAAGGACCAAAGTTTTCAATATTTTCACAAAAGTGTGTCAAAAACAAAGCCTTGCACAGGGAATCCAGCTCATTTATATGAAATGCTAAGTCATGTTGAGAAATGAAACACATGAAAGGGTCCACAGTTGTATTGCTGATGGAGAGAGACAGAGTGATAATTAGAGGTGAAAGTGAGCGAGACAAAATTATGCATAACACCTTACGGCAAGATGTAAGTGTAATAGAAACAAACAGACAAGCAAAATCCCGAACTATTTGGTCTCTTGGTTAAAGTCACACTTTCTTAAAACACTAATTCCAAACATTAAAATCCTGCTGCCCACCCAAAGGAAAGTTCCCAGAGATTCCATGTAGTCCCAATAGCAGGCAGAACAGCTTCCTGTAGAGTCTCGGGAGCTACAGCTTCTCCCCGGGGACGTTTATATAGTCTGACTATATATGAAATGTGCGTATACATGTAGGAGAAGTTGGAGAGTTTATTTTTTAAAATCTATGGAGATTCTGGAGGGCTGCCCTTCACAGGTCCACAGTTGTTCAGGGTTTCAAATGCACAGGTTTGCATTTCAACAGTACCATAGAAAGCTGAGAATACTCCAGGAGTCAATGAGAAGGGAGTAGCAATGAACAAAGAAAAGAAAACTCTGTAGGGAATTATGACAAAATGGAAAATCCTAACAGGTGGGGGTAGGTGGAGCAGAAACAATCAGATCATGGGGCACCGCATACCTACCTCCTCCACACCCCCACCACACACAGCTATGCAAACACAGCTTCCCAAGTGTGTAGGTCATAGCAGTAGTTCTGCTTTGGCACTGTGTCATGGCACTCTTCATAAATGCACCCAAAAGGATATTAGGGATACTATATTCTCATCTTAAACATTGGTGAGCCCAACCATACAACTTTTGCCTGCCACCCCCCTTAAACCTCTCAAACTGAGAGCTTGAGGGAGGAGAGTGTGATGAATATGGCAACAGCTAAAGAGAAGATACAGCTTCATTTGCCTTTGGAGTAAAAGAAGTTGTGCCAGCATCCATGGTTACTTGTGCCATTTTGACTCATTTGCCAACACACTTATATAGTAGAATTAAAATTAGCATCCTTTCCACGTTTTAGATTGAAATATCCTCTGTAGCTCTCATAATTTGGCACTGATATGAAAGACTGCAGTCAAAAAACATGTAGTTGGGTAAGATATATAATTAAATGCTAAAGGCAATCATTATTACTAGCATAATACCAATTATTCATCATAATACTGAGGAAGTCAAGAGGATGAAAATTTCATCCAGAACAAAGTCTCTGTTTTTTAATTAGACGAAGTTAAGGTAGGTTCACTCTGGAGTCCACAGTTCATCTTACCAGCACTGTGTTGCTGACAGTGAAGGTACTGAGTGATATAGGGTACCACATGGTTCTAACCAGAGCATGGGCCATCCAAGACATATTTTGCAATTGTATAAGAGTCAGTGGTTTTTTGTTTCTTTCTTTTGAACATTGAAAATTTTATTATTGCAAGATGTACACAGAACAGTGCAGAAACTTCTTCAAAACAGTGTAAAAAGAGTTGACATTAAAGGCACAAATTTAAGGAATTTAATTCTGCAAATACTGGTACAAGAGAGGGTCTTTATATTCAGGAAACATCAAGCCAAGTTAGAAAATTACTTGAAAGAGGTGCAACAAACTTAGAAATATTTAGCAAGCTAAATATTTCTACAACAGTACAAAATATGCCCTCAGATTATTTGGGCAAGATATTATCATGTGTTGAGATGAAAAACTAAAAAAAGAAAAAAAACTTTTGAAACCCAGTAATCCTTTGCCAGCAGCTGGAGTGTTAGGACTGGCAATACTTCAGGTGGCATGCACATGTTCTTATAGAAAGTACAGGTTAGAAAAAAACTATAAAAATGACACTAATATACATTTTTAAATACAAAATGAACAGAAGTTCTAGAAAGCAGCCATGTTCTAAATCAACGAGAGTTTTTGGCACAATTGAGTCTTCATTGCTCAGAGAACATTGCTGTGGCTTTGTAACCTGTAAAGGTAGGAACCCTCACAAATTTTAAGTTAGGCAGATTTGACGTGACTGTAAAGTGTTAATATCAGCCCTTCTGGCTTAAAATTTATACCTTCTGTACTTGTATTTGTCTTCATTTCGATTTTGCAAGTCTCAGCAAAATGTGGGTATAATCCTCAGGCAAATTCACAAATTTTGGTGCTGCTGAAAGACATGTTTTCTGAGCTTACTTTTCTGTCTATAATTGAGAAGTGGAACACAAAGAAGCCTCACCCCACAGGACCTTTTCATGTAATTTACAGGAAGGGCAGCAGTATTTGTTGTGACTTACTCTGGGGACTGAGACAAACTGCCTAAATGTTCGCCAGTCTCCTTATATTATTAAATTCTTATAGCTACAATTCAAGACTTTGAAATTTGAGGCCAGAGATCTTTTCACTACACCCAAGATGGTAAATTCATTTCGTTTTTAGTTCCAGTTTTGACCGATAGGCAAGGGCTACCTGGAACCTCTATCGAATAGCTACATCAGGATTTACCAGAAAGTGTGTTGTAATTGATCAGTGATGTCTACTGCGGTTGAAGGATGGTGAGCTTGACAGCAGAAAGGTATATTTGCTGAATCCAAATAATACCATATTCTCCACAAAAGTTATCTTTTCAATAAAGCTTCCCTAAGGAACTATTTAAATTATAATTTTATTTACCAGTAGGTATCCACAGCATGTCCAGTTAACTCTTACTCATTCTACAGATTCAGTTCAAACACGACTTCTTCAGGGAAGCTTGCCTTGGCCAATTTTAGTTCGCTTTTTCTTGTACGTGCTCATTGTGATGTTTCTTTTTCTTTCTCTTTCTCCTCTAACTCACTTTGAAGTAACTATTCATTAGGTTTTCTTATTGGGTTAATGACTATATTCCAACCTCTCAGGCAGTGAGCTCATGAGAGCAAAGCCATGTTCTGTTTACCATTGCATCTACAGTGTCTACCATGGTTTCTGGAACTTCATAGACACTTACTAAATATTTGCTGAATTGAAATTGAAAATTGAATTGAATTGAAATGCAGAGATTTGTTTACTTTTACCTTAGATTTCTGAGACCCAGGCCAGGTATATTATCTTTTGTTGCAAATCCTTCCAGGAGACTAAGGCTTATGCACACAAATTTATTTGATCAAGGTTACAAACATGAAGATGTTGGAATCTGGAATCCTAGGTTTCTGAGATTTCAGATCTATTCTGAACTCCTCCATGTGTACAATACGCACATTACCTGCATTGCTATCAGAAGATGTTCATTTTAAGTTATAATAAAGGGTGACAGAGCCAGGAATGAAAACAAAAATCTTTTTATTTCAATGGAAGGAGTATGATATAGTAAAGAGAGAACTAGACTTAAAGTCAAAAGATCTAAATTTGTGCCCTAGCCCTCCCGTTTATTAGCTTATTAACCTTGGAAAACTAAATTTATGTCTACTAATCAGTAAAATAAATGGATAGAATGAGCGTTTCAAAACCAATTTTTGTAATGGAAACATTTCTTAACATGAAATTTCAAACATCTCATATAGAAGTGCAGTGTGTAAAAGAAATAAAGTGGAGATACTCTGAATGAAGGTGAGTGGTAGAGACCATACCTGGAATTTTGCTCATGCAATTTCTCCTGTACCTGCAAGGAAATCCCTAAAGAACACACAGGAAGCCCATTTGGAAAAAAAAAAAAAAGTAATTGTGGAATAATTATTAATTTACAGGAAGTTGCAAAGATAATACAGAGAAGTCCTGTGTACCTTCATCTAGTTTCCCCCCAATGGGCCAATTTTTAAAAATCCTTTGACACAAGAATATAGTTAATTATTCTTATTTTTAATTTATTATTTTTTTTTGAGATGGAGTCTGCCTCTGTCACCCAGGCTGGAGTGCAGTGGCACATCTCGGCTCACTGCAACCTCCGTCTCCCGTGTTCAAGCAATTCTCTGCCTCAGCCTCCTGAGTAGCCAGGATTACAGGTGTCCACCATCACACCAGGCTAATTTTGTA